ACCAATAACAATAAATCTGTTTGTTTATTTTTTCACCTATGTATTGTGTTTTGTTGTAGCCTGAAATTTAAGCTGTTTAAGGGAGGCATTTTTCATTGTGTTTATAAGACCCTAACTCAGTAGTACTTCAGTGTCTAGACTTCATTGTAAAATAAACAATTATACGCTAACACACTGCTGGCCAAGGTCTGCATTGGTGATAATAAGAATGGCAGAAAGTTGTACACAAAATAAATGTTAAATAAGATTCCCTTTCAACTTTCACACCCATATTGTTCAAGGGCGTTAGCATTTTAGCAAAGGGATCCTCTTCCTGATTAGAAAACTGTTTCAGCATGTTAACTTTCACAGCTGCTTACATGAAATATGACAAGATGTTATTGTCTGTTAAATTTTCAGAGATTATGCTTTTAGAATATTGTGGGTAGTGGACTCAGTTGTCAAATGAATATTATTGGAGAATGTCCAGTTTGCTTTTCCAGTGTACCTTTGACCCATGTTCTTAACTTTTTGATAGATCTGTGATGATACACAACTGCAGCATGATTCAGGTTATATTTTGTAGTGGTCACAAGGTCTGGTTATGCTTTGGCACTTCGCAGTACAGTTTATATTTTGATGGTCTTTTCATAAACTGCAGTCAATATTCAGGGTGAAATTTAAGGTCGTGCCATAGGTCAGAGCAGTTCCGGTTAAACAGATCTGCTATTCACACTGACATTTTTCCCCCTTTCCTGAAGAAAAACTAAAGCAGACTACTGAAAAGGGGCGATGACAGTTACTGCCATCAATAAACAGTGATAGTGAGCAGGGTTACCCTAATGAAACTGGGCCATTATCATTTAGAGAAAAATGACTGCCAAAAACAGATGTGAAATACCTTTTGCATCATATTATAAAGTTAATTAATTCATGAGAAACAAAGCAGCTCAGATCAAAAGACATTACTGCAGTTGCACTTATTTTTGTGCCATATTAACTGGAAATCTGAAGATAATTAATTGTACTGTCCAAATATATGTAAATACCCAGTGCATAGAATGAAATATGACTGATCTTTATTATAATAATATGGTTTTTTAAAAAAGCCTCCTTTTTCATTTAAAAGATGGGATATGGCAAAAATGAGTTGCATTAGAACAGGGGTGGCAAACACCTTGTGCTGTGGGCCAGATCCAGATTATGGAGCTCCTTGCAGGCCAGATTAAACCTAGGATACAAGGAAGCTGTGGCAGTCACAGCAGCTCTGTGCCCAGAGCATGTGGCAGCAGCAGCTCCAGCCCCTGCTGTGTGCCCCATGTTGGAGCTGGAGCTGCTGCTGCCATTGTGGCTGTATACCCTGGGTTGTGGTGGCAGCTCTGGCTCCAGCCTGGGGCATATGGTGGGGGCTGGCATCTGGGAAGGTAAAGCCATGGCAGTACAGACTGCTAAAATGGCTGGGGGAGGCAGGGAAACTGGGTCCATGATTGCTATGTCCACTGATGCCTGAAGGCCCCAGATTCTCTGGCAGGCTCCTTCTCCTGGCCATGCTAGTGGTCTACTTGGCTGGACAGAGCAGCTCTGCAGGCCATGTACTATAAGTTAATAAATGGAATTGGCACAGCTGTAGTACATATTATTGTTTCGAAACTTTGTGCATCTCTAAGGGACTTGGCAGCAGTGTGTCCATCTTGCTGATAAATATTCTCCAGCATTCCAAAATGCAGTAACATTATTACCCTGTTCTTCTCACAGCTGCTTGAGCCAGCTCTTGCTCAGATGCTTCTGTGTATTTCTGATGTTGCAAAGAAGCATGAAGAATGGCTTGACTGGCTTCCTCTTGGTGGCATAGGGCCATCATTATCACAACTTTTGGCCAATCCCAGGCTGTTATAATGACCTCTGGCAGCTCTAAGAAGCTGGGCCTCAGCTAGTACAGCCCTGGGACTGCTTTTTTTTTCTGGTGACCAGGTCAGCAGTCCCAGGCACAAGGCAACATGTTCCCCAACCCCACCATACACAACAAAGCTTTAGTACAGCCAAGTTAGTCCTCAGAATCTGGTGGCCCCTACTGCCGAAAAAAGAAGAGGAAAGAAATGTTTGGTATCCAAAAAACCTTGCACTGAGAGCTGTCGGGGACCCACTTAATAGAGTGGTAGAAGAAACTTGGAAAGGATTTTGCTTTCTTTGATTTCTTTCTGTTTTTTGGTTTCTCCCAGCCTGGTACTTGCCAGGCAAGAAGGCTTGGTTTTATTTTTGCTTTGGACGAGAGGCAGGCAATAGAAAAGCCATATCCAATCACTCAACCTTAGTTTGTATACAGTTTTAAGTGTCCAAATAGCTAATTTTAAGCAACTGTTTTGGTGTGTAGGGTGGGGGTTATTTGGGGTTTTGCTGAGCTGTAGGTTTATATAGAGATTTGTCTAATGCCCCTTTTAAATGCCTTAGAGTATTTATAGACTGAGAAATGAGAAACCCTTTTTAACAACATTATTGTTGGCTCCATTTTAAGCCGCATTTAAAAGCATATTGCTTCTCTCCCAATTTTCTGGTTCCTATTAGAATGTAGTACTTTTCCTTGAAAAAATAAAAATGATTTAAAATGGCTGTTAGATTTATGAAATGTAATAGAATGTAAAGAGAATGAGGGCACACATGTTTTCAAATTGAACCACAGAAAAATAGGGCTCTCAGAAATGGGATCTCAGGAGGTCATCTAGTCTAACCCTTGTTCAGGGCAGGATCATCTCTGTCTAAATAATCTCAGACAAATGTTTGTCTAAACCACACTAAAACATTTCCAGTGGTGGAGATTCCACAATCTCTCTGGGAAATCTGTTCCAGTGCTTACCCACCCTCACAGCTAGAAAGTTCTTCCTGTTATCTCATCTAAATTTCACTTTTTGCAATTCAAGACTGACTTTTTTCTGATCTCCTTTGAGCACAAAACAACTAAACAGCATCCTTTTAATAACGACTCTTTTTGTGTCTGAAGACTAATTAAATCCCCGTTTTCTCCTTTCCAGACTGAATAATTCCAGTTCTTCCAGCTTTTTTTCTTGTTATATTTCTAGACCACTAATCACACTTTTGCTGTCCTTTGGACTCATGCCAATTTGTCTGTCTTTTTTTAAATAAAGTATGGTGCCCAAAACTGGACAAAGAGCTCCAGGCAAGCCCTCAACAGTGCTGAATAGAGTACAAGAATCACTTCTCGTGAGTTGCATGCAATATTCCTGATAATACATCCCAATTTGCTCTTTTTGCAACAATAGCATATTGATGATTCCTGCTCATCCCATTTATTTCAGGCAACAGATCTCCATATCTGTTCAGTATGTCTTGATATCTTGTTTGGTGTGTTAGCCTGCCAGGTATTGATAGTACATTGTGAAGATCTTTGAGGACTCAACTCTCACTGATACCACCTCACAGGATATACATGACAGGATTGGGCTCCGTCATACATGCTGGCTTTTACGGTGTTTTACTTTGTGGGTTAAGCTATAGAAACTCTAAATCAGTGTCCAGATCTTAGGAGTTTGAAATCCTCAGTTCCTGAATAGTTTGGCTTAATAAGCTCTGATTCATAAGAGATGATAATACTGATGTGTTTTTTTTTTATTCTAAGCATTTCTGAACCCCACCCCCCACAAAAAACAAACCCAAAACATTCAACAGCAATGACTTCAACTGCAATAGGGTAAATGATAGCATGCTAGATATTAACATTATCTTTGAGACAAGAAAGAACATGGATGAATTCCTGAAAAATGTACATTTTCTTATTTTTGCTAGTGCCTACTTGGTTTTACAATGCTGTAGGTGTACGTTATGCTTAAAAAACAAATAAAAGACAAAGTCTCTGTGTTAAAAAGTATAACATATAAGGCAGGTGTGTCAAACTCCCTTGGCCTCCCCAGGCAAGATCTGAACCATGGTGCCCTTGTAGGCTGGATCCAGACCAGTCTCTGACGGCAGGGGTTAATGCAGCCATTGCTCATCTCTCCAACACCAACACACATCCCCAACATGACTCCACATGCTGGAATTCAGTGGCAGGCTCTGCCCCTGAATTCCTGGTCCCACAGGCCAAATAGCACAGCTTTATGGGTTGGATCTGGCCTGCAGGCCATATCTTTGATGTTCCTGATATAAGGGGTTCAGTCCTTGGAGCTATACTATTCCCTTAAGTCCTATTAATTTTGAATTCTGCATTAGTTAGTACAAGGACAAAAAAGATTAGGCCCTAGTCCTGCAATAGATTCAGTTAGGATGGACCCATTAACCAGTGAGGGACCTTACATGGGCATACAGGGCCACCTTTCATTATATGATCTGAGAGGTTCATGTGACAGCCACAAGGGATTGCACTATTGAAGCTTAGCACTTCTCCTTTAGTAATCAGTCACCTGTGGTAGGAGCTATATGGGTAGATGTTTGAAAGAGTATGAGATCCTTAGTTTGAAGTAACTGGGTTTCTTCAAGAAGGTTTTTCCCACATGGTCTCACCTCATTTCCTATGATGCAGATACCTTTACTCTGCTATCCTATATCACGAAGTTGGGGCTGCTCATACACTGGCTAAAAGATTCTAGGCTTGCACGTGGTATAAAAATATGTCTTTCATGTTGCATATTCATTGCAGCTAAAGGATCTATGGACCCTTCACCCTATTTAGTATGCATCCTGTCAGTGGAAATTTTCCATTTACCACTTTTCATTTCCATTATCCATTACGGATTAGGCCTGATGAGAACTGCCTGGATGATGTGTGTTGACAAAACAGAGTGTATGTAAATGTGGCTTAAGGCAGAATCAAGACTAGCAACCTTTTTATTTGATTTGATTCTGAAGCTTTTCTTACTAACTTTACATGTCTTTGAATGAATAAAAACAAAGCAAACCAGCTTTCATCCCATCGATCTTCTTTGCTAAATGAGTATGTTGAAGCTTTGAGAACTTCTACCTAATGCTGTACCATATCATAAGTAGTCAAGGAAATTCATTTTGTATTTTAGGAACCGCAGCTGTGGCTGTTGCAGGTTTCCTTGCAGCTCTACGTATCACTGAGAACAAGCTGTCAGATCACATAATACTATTCCAAGGAGCTGGAGAGGTATCTGTTAGACATGAGGAAACCTTCTGTGTAGTTTTTTTGTAGTTGTTACATGTCTGTTCCAGAGTAAATGGTAAATTTCTATGGAGGTCCACAGCCTGCAAGTACAGCTTGCCGAGTTTGCTTCATTGGACCTCCCCATGGTCGCATCACAGGATGCTTTTCATAGGATGATTCAGGGAAATCATAATCCCATATTAAAACTTCAGGTTTTAGCTACTATTAATCTTGCTCATTATCTCAATGTTGAGGAAGTTTGTCAAAAAAGGGGGAGTGAGGCTAACAGAAAAACACTGTTTTCATTGCTATCAGTTTTGTTTAGGACAGAAACCTCTATATTTCCCTATAGCATGACAGATTTTTCAGTAGTCTTAAAATCATCAGATTTCCAAGTTCTTTTTGGTACATATAGGCTCCTGACCCAAGCCTTCATCATAAGCTTTTCTGAGTTACAGTAAGCCTTACACTCTATTTGGAATTGAAGCTCTACATTGTGCACTGTGTGAATATAATGGTCACTTTCCTGTATTGTTAACTGCCATCTTTTTGATGAGCACTCAAGTAAGTTATAGATTCAGTACACTAATGCAGTCATGTGCTTCGTAAATTCTGTAATTCAATGTAGATTGCTAATTTTAATGTAAATGAATGAAAATTGATTTAATAAAAACTGATCAGTACTCCCCCAAATTTCGCTCACAGTTTGCAGGAAGATCTGCATCAGTGATGCATGAAACATTTCTGACAGCCTTGATATGCAAAATACCTGCCCTCCATTTTGCTCCATATTCAGCAGACTCAAACATCTGTTAAATATTCATTAGTATTTGTTTATTATTACCAGTGTGTATGGTGCTGTACAAACACAATGAAAGGTACAGTCTGTGCCCTCCAGAGTCCATTTGGACTACATTTGTACATTTATAAAGAGAAAAATAATATAAATTGCTGCTAGACAGGAAAAGTGGGGCCTCACTTGATTCTCAGTGAAACTTCATAATGAAGAACAAGAATTAAACTGTTTATATTGGGTTGATAGCCAATTGTTTGGTGGTCTTTTTTATATATGATTAGTGAAAAGAAAGATACTAGAATCCAGTACAAATAATATGCATTTGGAAAAATAATTAAAAAGTGGATGGTGGCGTGGGGTGGGGGGGCAGGGAGTAGCCAAGATTAGTCAACAATTACTGAATACATTATTAGTGGGTAAGAGAAACTGTTCCTTCTTTATGGGTATTTTAAAGAGATTTACAATCTAAAACCCTTGAGACTGTATTTTATTTTCTAGGATTCAGTGTTTGTGTTAGTTTTTTGAAATATAATATATACCCCAAAATTAAAAACTGTCAATATGAAAATGTCCTCTTGCACCCTGATGTGATTGTTAGGGACCAACTGAAATCAAGGACACAGGTGGACAATTTTGCAGGTTGATCACAGGGCTGGCCACCATTTTCATGGGCTTATCATGGCAGGCTCACCCCCCATGCCTATATTGGCTGAAGGGCCCTGTTGGCTCCATTCCTTGCTGCTGATTGGTTGAGAGCCCTGTCCATCATGCAGCCCCTACCTCTTTTCACTGGTTGGTCAAGAGGGCTGTCTGTCATATGGCCCTGCCCCTCAATGCTGAGTGGTAGGAGGAGGAGGCCTTGTGGCTAGCAGCCCTCTGGCCCAGCCACTATCTTGGCTGCTCCCCTTTGCACCAGCCATGAGGACTGCTGGTTCCCCAGCATTTATTTTTAGTAAGTTTGGGGTTGGTTGTTTTTTTGGGGTTTTTTTTGCAGATTTCACGGACAGTGCCCAATTTCATGATTTCTGTGAAATCCATGAAATTGCGAATTGAGTAGGTCCCTACTGTTTGTGGAATAAATGTTGTAACAAATTTAAATGATCTAATAATGACAAGGTAAACAAAGTTCTATATAGTGCCTACACCCACAGTATGGAAGCACTGAAAAGAATGCGTTTTCTGTTGGCTTACTTTATGAAAATATCATTGTTCAATTTAACTGTCAGTGATATTAATAGGTTTAGTTAAAGTAATCAATGAAAAATTAGTATGTTTTTGTTTCTCTTCCAGTGTCTTGTAAAAATGCTCTTTCC